CATTATTACCATACACCTATATCTATCATATCATTTTCCTCTCTCTCTCTCTCTCTCTCTCTCTCTCTCTCTCTCTCTCTCTCTCTATATATATATATATATATATATATATATATATATATATATATATATATATATATATATATATATATATATATAACACTAATATGTGGGTATTAGTCTATTCTTTAAATATTTTATTTATTTATTGTAAAAATAAAGTATAAATTATATCAAAATTGTTTATATTATTATTAAATAAAATATACATTCTTTCTCTATGATTTTTAAATACAATAATTAAAATTTACTATTTTAAAGAATTGTGAAATATAATTTTTAATTATTTGCATTTATCAAATTTTTAATGTCGGACATGACGGGTACAAAATGCTAGTAATAGTATATGAGTCAAGCATTTTTCATTTGATTTTCACCCCTTCTTGTGGGGAAAAGAAAGCCTCTATATTATATAATTCAACATGCATCTAAAAGGCTATTGTATATATAATGGTGCAAATCCCATTCTTTTTTCAATATGGGACATAGTCTACTTAAAAGTCATACCACTTTCATTTTTTTTAACTCAAATGGATCTATTTTGAGAATCAATTTCTCATTCAGCCAATATCCGTTTTGAGCGTACAATATATCAATATTTTCTTCTCACTATGAAGAATTTAAAATCTATTTTGACCCGATCCAAACTGTAAGTAAACTCCACATATATATTTGTACCACTAAATAATCATTTAATTTATAATATTATTTTATGCTATTTTCAACAAATATCGCATGCATAGTGATTGGGGTGGTGGATGGGAGGAGCACATGCACTGCACGCAGGCGCGAAAGTTTTTACACTATACTCATACAGGAGTACATGACCATTGCTAAAAAACTTTTAATAAAAATGACCAACAACTCAAAAATGTGGTCCATAGTGATAAGGCTATCATGGGAGCTAGTATGTACCTCACAATTGCCGAATCATTAATTGTTTATATAATATAATGTTCATGGTTAGATTTTTTTTATCAAAATAATCGTACAATGCACAAGACCAATCATAATAATGAACAGGGATGGAACCAAAATTATAAATTTATCAAATGTATATGATAGTCAGATAGTGGAATAGGGAGCATATTAAGTATTTTTTGATCGTTTATTTCCAAAACTAGTTAGTATAGTTCTCAAGTATCCCCGAATTTGTTTGAACGGACAAAGGACTTGAAAAATGTCTTCTCAGTCATCTTAAACTTAATTTTTTTCAATACTTACGCATGGCATGATCTATTTGATTGGCTATATAGTAGTTATAATTATCGTATCACTATAAGACACAACTAACGTAACTCCTTAGGAAAGTCACATTTTTTGTGAAAGATTGGAACGAACTTAGCATAGGTCAACCCCAACAGTTATGTCATGGATCCGGATTCACCTTGCAAGGTAGATCCGAATAAAAATAGACAATTTATATATTGAATGTTCACAATTTATATACTGAATGTTCACAATTCAAATTGTGAATATTCAATATGTAAATGGTGAACATTCATTATAATATATAAAAATTGTGAATATTTAATATGTAAATTGTGAATATTCAGTATGTAAATCGTGAACTTTAGTATATAAAATTGTGAACATTCAATATGTAAGTAGTGAACATTCAGTATATAAATTATGAACATTTAATATGTAAATTATGAACATCCAATATATAAATTTTGTTTTGGAACCAGATTCACCTTACAAGGTAAACCCAATTCCACATGATAATTTGCATTTTGCAGGCTAACCCCAAATCCTCAACCTGTACTGTAGACTCCAGCAAGAATTGATGATTAAAGAAATTGTTTAGTGGCAGTTTCCATTTTCCAGCTCTCCCTCTATAAATAAGTGCTGAACCTTAGCTTAGCTTGTTGAATGTATGCAGTTTCATTCTTTAATAAAATCCTCCTTCTTCTTTCTTCCTTTATTTCTCACTCCTTTTTTCCTGAAACCGAACATCTATCGCCGGCCTCGGCTCTCGCTTTGCCGCCTTTACTGGCAATAATCTCCCGGCCGGCGCTTCACTCTCCACCATCCCATGCATATCCGGTCCGGCAAAATTGCTAATGAGGCTTGTCACCCTATGAAATTTAAAAGGTAGGTAGCTTAGTCTCCTAAATTTATTTGCACTACCTTTTAATTTGAATTTCTTGGGGTGACAATGCCTCAATTGCAATCTTTGCTGCTTCTGCTGTTGTTTGTGTTGGAGGATGAAGGGCATTAGTGTAATCTACCTTTTAGTGTATACCGGTTCATGCATTGATCCTCTGTATATAAACCAATGTCTAAAGCCATGAGCTGTAATTTTGAATAATATCTTCTACTTCAATCTGTTTCTGATCTCTCACCATTGATGTAGTCCCTTTTTCGTCATGGTATCAGAGCTGCGATCCTACGCCGCCGCCGCTGCCGCCGCCATCTCTACTGTTGCCGGCGTGAATCAGAAGAGGCAGGCTACCACTCCGGTCACACAATCTCCATTCATGCGATTACTTTCTCGTGGTTTTCCAAAGTCGGTTCCGCAGAGGAACTCGATCAACCGTGCTCTTCTTCTTCAATCCCAGGCAGTGGAGAAGATTAATGCTACGCAGAGTAGAAACAACAAAGCCGATGCTCGATCACCAATTCGATCGGCATTAACAACGATTCCAGAGAGGAATCTATTTTTGGAGCAGACTTCCGTAGCCGATCCGCAGCGGAAGGCGATCCGAGTCTGTCCATCATCGATCTCCATAGCCCTTCCGCAGCGGAAGGAAGGAGCTCCGTCTATTCCGATCGCTCGATCTCCAATTTCGGCGATATCCATAGCTGTTCCGCAGTGGAACCAGTTCACGCAGAGGAGCTACCATCCAGAAGATCTGGAAAAGTCCAATCTGAAGAAGATGGAGCAGTCCTCCGTCTCAGCCATAGCGGCGTCGAGTGCTCGTGTAAAGAGCAAAGAGAGTGTGATTGAGAAGAAGGACGTTCAAATGGAGTTGTCTGAGTGCTCGTGTATGGAGTTGAGTTCTGGAGTTTTCGAAGGGGAAAGCGAGTTGAAGTTGAAGTTCAAACTGAATAAGAGTAGAAACGCGAATGTAATTGAGGATCCCGATGCGATTGTGCAGTCGGAGATTTCCAGCGTTGCAAGGTTTCCGTTGTCCGGCAAAGCTAGGAAGCCGAAGAGCGTAACCGAAAACGCAAAGGAAATTGACGAGAGCGAAATTTCGAGTCAGAGAAAATTTTCCGGCAAGGTTTCGGAGTTAGCTGAATCTGCTTTAGAATCCACCGTAGAATCGAAGTTAGCTGAAAATAGAGTATTTGGTGAGGAGGTGTCTAAGCCAGAAGAGGTGACATCCATAGTCGTTCCGTATAGGAACCTGTTCACGCAGAGGAACTACAACTCAGATGATCTGGAAGATGCTGCTAATATAATTGATGAGAAAAAAGTTTTTGTTGTTGCGTTAGATGCTGGAAGCGATTTGCCTTGGGTTGTGATTGTGTACAGTGTGCTCCATTGTCCTCAAGCTACTACACTGTCTTGGATAGAGATCTGAACGAGAATAATCCAGCCCGATCTAGCACCAGCAAGCAACTTCCTTGCAGCCATCAATTATGTGAACTTGGTCCTCATTGCAAAAGTCCTAAGGAGCAATGCCCATACATGGTTGACTACTTGTCAGAAAATACATCGAGTTCAGGATTTCTTTTTGAGGATCAGTTGCATTTGATCTTATCTGGTGAATATTCACATCAAGACTCTGCCCTGGCACCAATCATTATAGGCCGTGGAAGCAAAAAGAGCGGCAGCTATTTGGATGGAGCTGCTCCAGATGGTGTTTTGGGATTAGGAACTGGAAAAATTTCCGTTTCAAGCCTGCTTGCAAATTCTGCATTGGTTCCACATTCATTCTTTTTATGTTCTGACAAGAGCCATTCTGGGAGAATTTTCTTTGATGATCAAGGGCCTGGAAATCAAAGATTGACCTCCTTTTTGCCACTTGAAGAGAATTATAACAAATGCATCGTGGAGGTGGAACATTATTGCGTTGAGAGTTCCTGTTTAAAGCAATCTGGATTTCGAGCACAAGTTGATAGTGGTTCATCTTTCACTCTCCTACCTTACAGGACCTATAAGAAAGTTGTTAATAAGTTTGATGAACTAATGAATGCTACAAGGTGTTCTGCCAATATGAAGCTCATCCTTTCTGCCAACCAGAGTTTTGTGATTCAAAATCCCATGTTTCCTATCCTCAACTATCAAGGAGTCAAATGTTACTGTTTAGGTGTTATGCCAATTGAAGGAATATACTGGCCCTGGTGTGGCCACTGCATGCTCCTGAGTAGAAGAAAGCTTCAAAGAAACTAAAAGGGAAGGTGACTTTGGGGCATGTAGACTGTGATGCAGAGAAGTCTCTGTGATTCTCCACTTTGCTCTTTTGTATCTAAGCTGGGCATGTAGGATCTACACGCTCCAGCTTACGGGGGGGGGGGGGCGGGGGGGGGGTGTTGGAGGATGAAGGGCATTAGTGTAATCTACCTTTTAGTGTATACCGGTTCATGCATTGATCCTCTGTATATAAATCAATGTCTAAAGCCATGAGTTGTAATTTTGAATAATATCTTCTACTTCAATCTGTTTTTTATCTCTCACCATTGATGTAGTCCCTGTTCCGTCAGTTTGTTCAATATTCAAAGACAAAGATAATATCGATCATGGGATAATTGACCAAAAAGAAAAGAAAAATAAGAATTGAATTCAACAATATAATTCTGATTTTGAGTTATCAAGTTGATGAGCTTATCTGAAACAAATGATTCTTTCTATACATGCTCAAATTTCCCCGGTTGATTCCTTTAATTTCCTTAATTTACAAGTCCCCATCAAATTTAAGTTTTGTTCTAGCATTCTTCCATAAAAGTTGAACCCCAACCTTAAGGGCCCCCACAATGAATTTGTTGGTCTCACTTTTAGATCAGGTATGTGCAGAATATATGGAAATAGATAGGGAGGTGACTGAACATTTATGAAAGCTTAACCTAAGCATAGGTAGTGGTACTGATTTCTGCATGGCTACATTATATTTAGTCATTAAGAATATTGTTCCTTATGGAGAAATTAAAGGCGTGGAAAGAGTGTGCTTGCTTCTACCAGAGCTAGAAGAAGTCCCAATAATAAATTACAAGAAATGACTTTTTTAGTGGGTAAAGACTTGGAAGCTGAGGAGCGGCGACCTGCAGGGACTTGGCCACCGGAGAACCGGTCACCACCAGAGAACTGTCCACCAGTATACGTCTGACCAAAAGACCAGCTTGGAGGTGCCACTTCATTGGAGACTACAGATTGCCCATCACTGGTTGTGACCGCGAAAGACAATGCTTGTCCATTGAGGTAGACATTACTTTGCCAGTTTTGGCCCCAGTTGTGAGACATTGGTAACCAACTGGTGTTGGATCCCTTGATAGAAACAGACACCACATCCCCTGCTCCTCCCACGTTAGTTATCAGTACTAGGATGTAGTAGGAATGACCAGTTATTGTGAATTTGATTCCGCCACTCTTTATGCAAGGAACCCTGTTAACTCAACAGTTAAATAACTAACCATATATACCATTTGGTTAAATAACTAACGTGACTCACTCACTCGTACCTTCTGTATTGAACAGGGACTATTCCAGCTCTGTACTGAGCAATTTGCAGGAAAATTGGCTGGGAGAGATCAAAGTGTTTGAATGGGAAGTCACACCACCCTCCGGGAGGACAGAAATTTGTTGCGGTGACAACAATTGAACCCGGAAAGCACTGCTCACTGTCGCCTGCACACTTGATCTCAAAACATGCACCACAGCTGAGTCCATTATTGAAAAGGGCACTACTTAGTGCAGCATTGCTTTCGCCATATCCTTGCCCATACAAATCTCCATACCCACAAGCTCCACCTACACCATCAAGTAAACATAATTGAAGCATGTGCTCCATCTCAACTAAAAGCCTAAGCTGGTATTTAGATTGCACGCTCAACAAACATTATAAAATTAAAGCAGCTGAGCAGATAATGAAGAACCCAACTGGGCCTATATTGCTTTCTGGCTGGCTCTTACCCATTGTACCAGAGGCATCAGCGCCTCCGTAGAATGTGGCATGGGCATCCGACCATTCGCCCCCATCGGAACCATGAGCACCTCTTAACCCAGCCACGGATGAAAGTATGAAAATAGTAGCTAGGGTTTCCATTTCAGTGGTTTTGAGAATTCTGCTGCCTAAGCTAATTAAGTAAAGTAAAGAAGATGATGCAGGCAGGGTGTTTTATGTGTCTGACCCACCCGTGAGTCTGTGACTAGTTTTCACATGTACATTTCTGCCTGGTGCTTGTAGTCAAGGACTAGAAAGTAGTGTGCATAGTAGATCCAATTACGGAGTATTAAATAATGGGCTTAGCTAGATTCCCGTGTCGTTTGGGAAGGTTTTATTCAGATACACACACTGCCCAATCATTATTACATGGACCATAGTCCATACAATTGTGTGAACCATAAATCAAAAGTACATTTTTAATATACTAATGGTACATTATTTATGTACGTAAGGTATATTTTTTGAAAGTACGGTCATTCTAGATTACGAGGCTTACCGAACTACCTTTGCCCTAACTCAGAGAAAGAAGGCTGCTCAAGCAGAATCCGAATACCCAATCTCTTAGTCTGATTCAGATAAATTGTGAACCAAGACATGAAAAAGAACGAACTCAAAGTACATTTTTAATATACTAAGAGTACATTATTTTATATAATGTATTTTCAGTACAAAAATAATGTACCTTCAATACAAAAATAATGTACTTTCAATATTAAAAATGTATTTAATATTCATGATCCGTACAATTGTGTGGAGCATGATACACACAATAATTTGCCCACTCTACCCCACCAAATCCTTACTATATAATAGCCACAACATTTATAAAATAAAATAGCAATTTTTTTTTTTTTGCCCACAAAAAAGGGTGCCGAATTGGTCAATGGTCATTAAATTAATGCAATTATTAAATGATAGGATAGAATTAAGGTTCCCGATTTACGAGTCTTAAAAAATAGAAAAAGATAATTTTTTTTATTTTATTTTATTTTAGTACAGGAAATGATCCCTCTAAATTTATTGAATTAAATTGAATTAATGAATTTAAGGATTCATTTTTTGAATGCTACTAGCTCCTATTACATTATAGTATTGTTCATATACTTTCTCAACCTACTGAAACACAAAGAGCTAATAACACCTCCATTGAAGCTCAAACTCACAACCTTTCAAATGGAAGTCCAACCCGGGTACCATTGGACCACATAGTCCTGGTGAATTTAAGGATTCCTAATAATTATGATTTGAAAATAAATATAAAATGATCGCCGCTTTGTACTATTTGGTGTTGTCTCTTGAGATTTTCATATACTACTTTTGGTTAACAAATGTTTTATATTTATGATATCCAATAGGACTCATTGATATCCGCAACATTTGCGTTAATCCTAAATCCTATAAATAGCGTCTTCAATTTACTTGAAATGTACAGAAGAACTCCAAAGTTGCATTCATATGGCTCCTATGTACATTATGGGTCAAGAAATATCTCCTCTAAAAACCACAAGTGCTATAAGAGTTAAATGCGTACGTACATTGATATAGCAGAAAGGAGATACAGCGACACTATCAAGTGTAAAGAATGCATATTTCATGATCAATAGATAATTTTCAAACATGTTTTGCTAATTTTGATTACTGTAAAATCACTTTTAATTCGTAATTATATATATATATATATATATATATATATATATATATAGAATCCGGATCAGGTGAGGACCTAATCTTATGTGAGGACGTGAGGACTAATCTTGTGCGTTTATATATATAGTTTACGGAATGATTTTTAAATTTGTATGAATATAAAATTCTTGACAAAATCGTTTTACAGTAAAATTGTTTACCTAAACCCTAAACCTTTCGTTTTTGTTTATTATAGGGCAACTTTATTCATGCTCATATTTCTAATAAGGAGCTTGTCTCTAAATTTCAGAACAGATTCAAGGAAGAAACGGAGCGTTTACTGTGTTAAGAATTTTTTAGTGATCTACAACTTTTATACCCCTATAGGACTAGCAGTAATAGAATTCTGATGAAATTTAATTATGCAACTATTGTTAAAGAATACAAGACCATAAATTTTCCCATACACATGTTTTGGTTAAGGCCATTTTCTGAGTTGAAATCACCAGGGGGATTTAAAGAGAAGGAATTAATAGGTAAGTATTTTCTGTTACTTAATTTGTTGTGTCTTAACTCTTGTTTATATACAACAACATATACAAAAAAAAATGTTATAATTCATTTACAGTAGTTAATAAAAAATCTTTAGATATACAATTTTATATACATACATAAACCCACATCAATTAAAATGTGTTAGTGAGGAAAATTGAAGAGATGCCTATTAGATGAGTTCTCCTCTACACAGAGCTCCAAAAAAAAAAAAAGAAAAAAGAAAAAGATACCCCATTGTTAAGATTGAAAAAGGAATAGATGAAGTGTGATGTTGATGGACATTTGATTTTTATTTATTTATTTATTTATTTTTTTGGTTTTGGTTTTGCTCCTCTCATGAAGACAGTTAATGCCATCGATGACATTCTATTTTATTTTAAAATGGTTTTTCTGTGGTTGTTTTGGGTTGTGATCCTTTCATGATACAGTTAATGCCATGAATGGCATTTAACGTTGCACTATGTTTACTTTTTAGTGGGTTATCGATTTTGTAACTTTGGTAAGTCAAACACGTTTAACCACAAAATTTTTTGATTATCTGGTTGTCATATATTACGTAAAATCAATTGGTGATAAGTAAGTGAACATTAACGGCATTCCTTCATAATAAGCCACAACGTCACCTTTTTTTTTTTTTTTTTTTTTTTTTTTTTTTTTTTTTGTATGCAATCCATATCTTGAGCAGACATCTATATATTTCAAATTTTGTATAGATCGGTAGGAGCGGAACAATGCCTTCGCCTAGAGGATTCAACCCCGACCTTCTCGGGGTTGATTTTTTTTTTTCATATATATATATATATATATATATATATATATATATATATATATATATATATATATATATATATATATATGGGTTCTCGTGCGGTTAGTTGTCTTAGGTGCGGTTGTGGGGTGAGATGAGAGTCATTGATCTTGTCAAGATCAACGTCCAGGATTAACAAAATTTTAAAAAAATACGCGGTGGCAATTTGGTGTTTTTTTTTTTTTTTTTTTTTTTTTTTTTTTACATCTAGGTCAAATTTAAGATGCGTGATTTTTGTGCTTATATTAAGGTGTTTTTGTGCTGTGTGCTTAAGGTGCGTTAGTTATTAGAAACTTAAGTGTGTTGGTCTAAAGCTTTAGGTGTGTGGTTTTCCTTCTTAAGGTACGTGGTTTGTGTGCTTAAGGTGTGTCAGTTGTTGAAACTTAAGGTGTGTCGGCCTAAAGCTTTAGGTGCGTGGTATTCCTTCTTAAGGTGCATGATTTTCTTTCTTAAGGTGCGTTGTTTTTCCTTCTTATGGTGCGTTGGTTTAAAGTTTTAGGTGAGTGAATTTCCTTCTTAAGGTGTATTGTTTTCCTTCTTAAGGTGCGTTGTTTTCCTTCTTAAGATGCATTGTTTTTCTTCTTAAGATGCGTTGTTTTTCTTCTTAAGGTGCTTTGTTTTTCATTCTTAAGAAAAAATAAAATAAAATGATTTTTTATTTCATAATTGTCTGTCATCCCAGGTGCTCAGATGAGAGCATCAATGAAGGACACGCGTTTTTTTTTTTTAATTTTTTTTTTAATTTTTTTTTTAAATTTTCATTGATTTGAGCCATTAATCTAGATTTGATTAATGGCTCAGATCTAACCCCGTTTTTTACTTATGAACAACCCTGCACCAGAACTCATCCATATATATATATATATATATATATATATATATATATATATATATATATATATATATATATATATTAGGCCGTCAGGTATTTGGTTAGGTTTATCAGTATAGTTAGAGGTTAATAAGGAGTGGTTAGCTATTCTCTTTTTAACCACTTATCAGTATTCTCTCGTTGTTCATTAATGCAATTACAGTAAACTCAAGCTGGTATCAGATAGTCATTCCCGATCTTATGGCAAATGACAATACTTCTCTCCCGGCTCCGGCGAACGCCTCTACTGATGATGCGACGGCGGCTGTGACAGCCTCCGAGCAGCGGCCGACGATGTTGCAGCAGGCGCACCACTACGTCTCCATTAAGCTCTCTTCTACGAATTTTCTTTTCTGGAAAGCCCAGTTAGTTCCATTCCTGCGTGGCCAAAGCTTGTATGGCTACGTTGATGGAACCCGCCCCTGTCCACTGGAGTTCCTCGCCGCCTCGTCTTCGACGGCTGCCACGCCTACTCCGAATCCCAGTCACGTCGTCTAGGTCCAACAGGATCAATCGATCATCAGCATGCTCATATCATCCATGACGAAGAGGTACTCTACCTAGCGATTGGCCATTCCACATCCCGTGTCGTTTGGGTCGCCGTTGAGACAGCGTTGGGGTCCACATCTCGTTCCCGGTCTCTTAGTTTACTTTCCCAGTTATAGAGTCTCCAACAAGGTGAGTCCTCTCCGGCGGTGTATCTCGGCAAGGCGCAGGTTCTGGTTGAGCAGCTTGCTCAAGCCGGCCGTCCTATCGGTCTTGATGACCAGAACCTGCATGTTTTTCTCGACCTTCGACCGGAATATCGCGGCCTTGTCGCTTCTCTCACGACGAAAAGCGCCCCCCTCACCATTCCAGAAGTTGCCGATCTCTTAGCGACTCATCAGTATCTCTTTCCGAATGAGACTTCGCTGACTCCGCCCGCTGCACCAACGGTTATGATGGCTCAGAATTCCCAGTCGCACTCCAACTCTGGGCGAGGGCGTGGTTGCAACAACAGGGGTCACAGAGCGGGGAGGGGGGGGGGGGGGGGGGGTGGAAGAGGACGAGGTCGCGGCGGTGGTGTTCGTTGCCAAATTTGTGACGGCCCTGGGCATACCGCTCTTACATGTTACCGGCGCTTTGTTGATGTTTCTGGTCAGAGAATGCACTTGGCACATTCTGGCCAGCCCGCCCTCGTGATGCCCCAAGCCCATATGGCCTCTCGTCAGCCACAAGAGGACTACAACACTGCTCCATTTTCCAATGTCTGGTTCCCAGACACAGGTGCGAATGCTCATGCGACCCCAATGCAGCAACTTTAAGTAACGTTGAGCAATACACCGTGGATGAAATGCTACATGTGGGAGATGGTTCCGGACTCCCCATTCATAATACAGGTTCTTTAAATTTCTTATCTAAGTCCCGGTCACTATTCCTACAAAGTGTCTTGCATGTCCCTAAATTACGTGTTTCCTTACTGTCTGTACATAAATTCACCCGTGACAACGATGTTTATTTTGAATTTCACCCTTCCCACTTTCTTGTGAAGGATCGTATCACCCGAGAGATTCTTCTTAGAGGTCTAAGTCACGGTGGGATGTATTCCCTCACCACGCCTTCCCAAGTTGCATTTCTTTCGGCCAAAGCGTCACCCACAATATGGCATAATAGGCTCGGGCATCCTCACACCCAAGTTCTACGTCAGGTTCTCACTAGTTGTCCCGTTAGTGGGTCGTTACGTTCAATAAATTCTTTATGTACCGCGTGCCAGATGGGTAAGTCTGCGCACTTCCCACTCACTCGTATTGAGATATCGAGTCAGTCTGTACTGGATTTAATATTTACCGACATTTGGGGACCGTCACTGGTACCTTCTGTAGATGGTTTTAGGTATTTTGTCCTCTTTGTGGACGATTTTTCGCGGTTTATTTGGTATTATCCGATGAAGTTTAAGTCGGATATTTATACAATTTTTGCTAAATTTCGTGCATTAGTGGAAAATTCCTTTTTGACCACTATTAAATGTGTTCAGTCGGATATGGGCGGTGAATACCGAAAGTTACACACGGTTTTCACTGTTGCAGGGATTTTACACCAACAGTCGTCGCCGCACACACACGAGCAGAATGGCCGTGTGGAGCGTCGACACTGTCACGTGATCGAAACTGGGTTAACTCTACTTGCCTAAAGTCACGTACCACAAAAATATTGGCCTTTTGCCTTTGAGTCTGCTGTCCATTTGATGTTAGTCCCTCCACTGTTTCACAAAATGTTAGTCCCTACTCCAAGTTATACCACAAGTCTCCTAATTATAGCTTGCTCCGTGTGTTTGGGTGCGAGTGCTTTCCGTGCCTACGCCCATCCAAAAGGCACAAGATGGATTACGGGTCTACTTCGTGTGTTTTTCTGGGATATCCAGATTCATGTCTTGGCTACAGGTGTTTGGACAGGAACTCAGGCCGCATTTACATTGCCCGACATGTGCAGTTCAACGAGGAGGTGTTCCCTTATGTGAAAGCCCATCATGCTGCCATGCTGTCCAAACTATGCCTAACGGCGAAGAGGCTGCGTCTCCTTGGGCGTCTGCACCAGTCTTGCAGACCCCGACTTCAGTTCACCCTGCACCGGCGTCCGAACCGAGCATGAATCAGCCACCACCTCAGTTGCCGCTTCTGCCGACTTCTTCCTCAACGGCAGGCGCTGCTTCCTCTTCGTATCAACCGACTACATCATCGACTACCACGGGCAGGCGACGACGTGTGAGGACTACTGTTCGAACACATGTTATGCAACTCCGAACATCAACCCATGCACAACATCGGAGTTCAAGAAGCCGCCCTACTGCAATGGTGGCCTCCATAGACGATGATGAGCCCACTTGCCACTCACAAGCGATTAAGTCCTCACATTGGCGAGCGGCTATTGACACTGAGTTCAACGCTTTACTGCAAAACCAAACTTGGCGTCTTGTTCCCCCGCCGAAAGACACAAATGTAATAGGTAGCAAATGGGTTTTCCGCATTAAGCGAAAATTCGATGGAACTATTGACCGCTACAAGGCCCGTTTAGTGGCCAAGGGGTTTAACCAGGTACTGGGCGAGGACTACTCCAAAACATATAGTCCGGTGGTCAAGCCAACCACAATTCGGCTGCTACTGGCCTTCGCTGTGTCAAATAAGTGGACTATGCGTCAATTGGATGTCCACAACGCCTTCCTAAATGGACACATTGACTAAGATATTTATACCGGCTACACAAATTCGAACTTTCCGGGACATGTGTGTAAGCTGCAACGCTCGCTATATGGGCTTAAACAGGCCCCCGTGCGTGGTTTAAAAGATTACACGATTTCTTGCTACAGGTTGGGTTTCGTCCGTCCAAAACGGATGTTTCCTTATTTATCTTTGACTCTGGATAGATCCGCGTCTATGTGTTGGTCTACGTGGATGACATTATCCTGCTTGGCAACAGTTTCGATATGGTCCAGAAAGTTATGACCCAGCTCTCCACTACTTTTCACATCCTAGATTTGGGCAGGCCTCGGTTCTTTTTAGGAATCGAGGCGACTTACACTGAAGATGGCCTCATGCTCTCACAACAGTGGTACATGTATGAACTCTTACGCAAGGCTGGCATGGAGTCTTGAAAACCGCTGTCAACTCCAATGGCACCAACTTCTTCGACTCCTGCTGCGGGGTCTCCTCCCCTTGACGACCCGACACCGTACAGATGTCTTGTTGGGTCTCTGATGTATCTGCTAATCACTCGTCCAGATCTATCCTTCTCTGTGAATCACCTATGTCAATTCATGCATGGACCAACACAGGACAACTGGGCGTCACTCAAACGGGTGTTGTGCTACATGCAAGGCACTCAAAATCTGGGGCTACGCCTCACACAGACAGTTTCTCCGGTTGTCCATGCCTTTTCAGATTCAGACTGGGCTGGCTGCTCTCTTGATCGGAAGTCTACCTCCGGTTACACCATGTTTTTGGGCCCCAATCATGTTTCCTGGACGTCTAGAAAGCAACGCACCGTAGCACGGTCCTCTACCGAAGCCAAGTATAAAGCCCTGGCTGACGTTGCTGCCGAGGTCACCTGGGTACAGTCCTTGCTGCGAGAGCTTGGCTTACATCCACCCACTGTTCCAATTCTATGGTGTGACAACTTAGGCGCAACCTACCTGTGCGCCAATCCGGTATTTCATGCACGGACGAAGCATGCAGAGGTCGATTACCACTTTGTTCGGGATAAAGTGACAACTGGAGCTCTCAAGGTGAACTTTGTATCTACTAGTGACCAGCTCGCCGACATCTTTACCAAGCCTCTCTCCTCCTCTCGCTTTGGTGATTTGCGGCGCAAGCTTAGCGTGGTCCTGTGTCTCTCTTCAGCTTGAGGGGGAGTATTAGGCAGTCACGTATTTGGTTAGGTTTGTCAGTATAGTTAGAGGTTAATAAGGAGTGGTTAGCTATTCTCTTGTTAACCACTTATGTATAAATAGCCTTGTATTCTCTCGTTGTTCATTAATGCAATTACTGTGAACTCAATCATATATATATATATATATATATATATATATATATATATATATACTTGAGTTGAAATGAGGACTGATATATTATAGAGGATTGTGATGACTAATATGACGTGTGCCAGTACTCTATATGTTGTGTGAATGGCCTGATGTAGTTATGTGCCATAGTTTGTATGTCGCGTGTATATGTTACTAATTAATAGAGCCTGTGTTCGAAATCTGATGTTTACATGTGTGCTTGTGTGCCATTGTGTATTAAGTTGTGTGCCTGATACTAATTTGTTGTGTGTCCAAAATTGGTCCTCACAGTCCTCTATATATTTCAATCCTCATGTGAACTCAACCATATATATATATATATATATATATATATATATATATATATATATATATATATATATATATATATATATATATATATATAGGGAAGGGATCAGGTGCGGGTGGACACACGCTAAGCATTAATCTGACGCACTTAAATTACAAAACACACGCACATTAAGCACACAAACAAAACACATTAAGAACACAACCCCACGCACATTAAGCACAAGCCTCACGCATGTTAAGCACAAGCCTCACGCACCTTAAGCACAAGACTCACGCACCTTAAGCACAGAACTCAGGCACCTTTTAAGTTTTAACAACTACTCACATTAAGCACAAACCCACGCACGTTAAGCACAAAACTCATTCACCTTAAGCACAAGACTCACGCACCTTAAGCACAAAAGTCACGCACATTAAGCACAAAACTCATGCACCTTAAAGTTTCAACAACAACTCACATTAAGTACACACTCATGCACATTAAGCACAAAACTCACGCACCTTAAGCACAAGACTCACACACCTTAAGTACAAAACTCACGGACATTAAGCACAAAACTCAGTACACACTTACGCACATTAAGCACAAACCTCACGCACCTTAAGCACAAGACTCACGTACCTTAAGTACAAAACTCACGCACATTAATCACCCACACGGGAGACACTTACCCACATTAGAACTTTTAGACATTAAGCCCAACAATATAGTTACCCTTGCGACGGAAATGGTTGAACATTTTGATGGCACAGTCGTTGATATCTGAGTAAAGTTCATCTTTGTATTTGCAGGTTAATTTCTTGAATGATTTGCAGCATAGCTTGGTGTTGTAATAGGGTCTATTTTTTTGCACTGGCTCGTAACTATTGTGTAGTTCATGTTCTCCATGTTAAATGGACAATCACGACTTTGAAGAAGAAGGGAACACCCTTTTCCTCTTGAAGTCTCCAGCCTATCATAATCGATGAATGAGGGGGTGTGCCAATAAGAAGGAAGAAGAGAAGCAAAACGAAGCATATTCTCAACCTCATTTCCTTCCCTTCTTTATTACTCTTTTCTTTCTCACGGACTTAATTAATTTTTTGTATAAAGTTCAAAAGCTTATTTAACATTTTTCCTAAAAAAAAAATGTACACGTTATATTATACTTCAGTTATAAGCTAGGAAGTTTTCATAATTCTTGTCCAATTTATCGTGCTCATAAATGTATATAAATGATCATATGAGAACACATTCTCACATGGGAACATAAGAACACATTTGGATTGTCCATTAAAGAAATTTTAATAGATCATATTTTCTTTATTTTTGATATCCTTGGTTTCATAGTTAATTTACATGGATGAAATTATAATTGTGTGTGCATTTAAAATTGTATTAATTTTTAATGCATATCTTTTGCTTAATTATAAGATTTTTAATTATGGTAGAATTACAATTTGTCTAGTAAAATTTTGACATTGCACGAATGCACTAACAGTCACATTAGTTCACACAATGAACAACAATGAAACACATGTCCAAAAGATGATAAAATTAATCCCCGAAGGCTTAACATAGTTGGTTTTTTACTTCACTTAAAGGTCATGACCGTCCCTTATGCGCACATTAAGACTGAGATCTGACCGGTATGTTTTTGGCATTTTGTTTGATGCTTATGATGTCATGCTTTAGATTGGATATGTATTTTTCTTTATTATAATATTAACATTTCATAAATGTCTATATATTGAATACTATGGTTATTTCCACTACAAAGTTTAGCACATACTATGAACCAAATTAGGCTTTAAATATTTTTAACGCCTAATGATAAATACCTAATTTAGTAAGATGTTTACGAGCTGTGTTGGTTCCATGTGCTTTGTACAGATTTATCGCATCGCATTAATACCTTGTTATCATCTTACTTATAATACTTTTCTTTTATGATTATGAACACCAATAAGAAGTAAGATGAGAATTGTAACAGTAACAAGTCTATTAGTAGATATCGTATTAATATCTTTGTACAAATTCAATAGACAGGATCTGTCATACTTGGTACAATTGAAAACAATTGTGCCAAAATTCATTTACCCACATAGACTCCAGAATAGTGGTGAAATACTTGAAGATCATTGTCTTCAGAGGGAGCAACAATATTCTAAAGAACGACGATACAAATTGACTTATTAGTTCATAAGAAAGGTTATGAACACACTACTCAAGAAAATCCTGAAGATTGAACCCAGAAGGTTCACAGTTGCATACTTTTTTCTTTAACTAAGTTTTTCCTACATAGTTTTTCATTAGTAAGGTTTTTAATGAGGCAACCAGTACAATATATGATTTTACAAATATCATGTACTCTTTTCCTCAACTATATTTTTTCCCACGTGGTTTTCCTAGTGAGGTTTTTAACGAGGCATTAATATATTTTAATATATTACCCATATATCTTGTACACTTTTCTTTTCTATGTTTTTTCCACAAGGTTTTCCTAGCAAATTTTTAATGAGGCACGATTGTGATCAAATAATGTCCAATGGGGAGTGTTATAATTCAAAGTCATTATGGACATTATTATTGTAACGTATGTAATAGTTATGTAATCATTGCATTCATTATGACCTTTGTATATGATGGTTTTATCGGGACCGAGTCCGGGTCCATCATAAACCGGGTATAGAAATATAGAACGGGGGTAGGAAAATAATAGTTTTATTACCCGGGCCATAGGCCCAAAATAGTACGTATAAAGCTCGAGGTACATGCCTAGAATGGCGGCCCAAAGGATAGGTTATAGCTGACTACGCTACAGACATGAACAGACAGGAATCACACCCAGGCAAAGAAGTTGAGAGCATGGATCAAGACCACGTACTAGACCGTAGTGCTTGTCACGTCAATGTTACCCCCTGTTAAGAACCCAGACCCCCAATTTATAGTGTACTTCTCTGATCGATCGATCGTATGTCATCCACATGTACGTCCTAAGATCGACAGCTCTCCAAACAAGCGCCACATGCCCCACGTTACGCCGTTACCCCCGTCACTTCCCCCACACCCCATGTTACGCCGACATGTCACCTCCCGCGTTCATTGGAACACGAACGCATGGGGACCGCGGGGCACTGCCAGCGCCAAGACCGGTCAGCAGTGTCGTGCACTGCCCCTCGCGTGGGAGGCGCTAAGGCCGCGCCCAGATACGCATCAGGCGCGCCATTGCCGGCTAGAGCTAGTGCCCCCGGCGGCAATCCCCTCCAGCCACCGGCGGCGACCCCCTCCGACTACCGGTGCCGCACTAAAGGGGCACTAGGGCCGTGCCGTCGCCGGCTGGGGCCAGCGCCCAGTCGGCGACCCCCTCTAGCCACCTGCGCCGACCATCTCCCTTTAGCGGCAACAACCCCCACCCATCTCACCAGTTCGCTTTCGTTCGGCCCATTTGCGGCCCAATAATGCTAATCTACTAAGTCTTTAGTCCATGCCCAATATCCTCATCAGTATATATATATATATATATATCCTTGTTGTGAATGAAGAAGAGAGGAAGATCACACCTTTGCTTTTCTTGCTTTTTGTCACTTCCCTTTTCTCTCTCTGCAATTTTTCCTTTGATCTATAGTTTACAAGCTAATGAGCATTCTTATTACAATAATTTTATTATGAAAGGCAACAATAAAGTTCTCTAGATACCTCAATCTCGACATGATTACAATTGAAAATCTCTATAAAACAAGATTTGCTACACAAACTCCTATTTTTTATTCTTCACTCTTACTCTTTGATGTAACAAGTAATAATAAGGTATTTTTATGATGTAGATCCTTAAAAAAATTATCTACATCAAGAGTTTGAGTGTAAAAAGTAAGAGTTTTAAGAGTAAAAATGAGGACCATGTAGTATATTCCTGATATAACACACCATGTAATGAACAGAACAAAAAGAAAAGATAACTCTCACTAACAACAATATAAAACCCCTTTACCTGCGCTGACAGCTCATTTGGTTATCGGGTAATAGATTGTAGGTAAAGACACACGATCGAGTCTTGATAGCCTATGCGTGTTACAACCAATGTGGTGGGCTCCTTGTGGACACTAGACACTGATTCTCCTGCCTAATGGATCGCTGAATTACCGTGATTTACCCCTGTCAGGTCGGGGTGTGGGGGCGATGGAATTTTTCCTTTTGTACGCAAGCACAAAAGGCCTCTCATTTTCTACTATTAAAGTCACTAGACACTTGTCTTCCCACCTAATGGGCCGTTGAGTGACTATGATTTACCCCTCCACTATCATGTCGGAGCGTGGTGTGAGAACGAGGGGATTTCGTCTTTTGTAAGCAAGTACAAGTTAAAAGTCTTCTCATATTCCACTTTTAAAGCCAAATATATAGTATAAAATGAATTTGTCATTTATTGTGAGAGTCCTAAGGACGAGATAATTTCGTCTTTTGTGGGCAACTACAAAACTACTCTCATTTTGTACTATTAAAGCCAAATATATACCATAAACATTGCTTTCAAAAATATACCACAGACATTGTTCTCTTGAATGGTAATAAAAGTCAACTGTGAATCTCTAAGAATGCATGTGATGGTTAAAAAACTAAGTCAAGGACCAAATTGTTAAAATCAATATAATGAATAATGAACCATTTTAATAGTTTTCTCTGGAAATAGTTGACATGCTGTATTGTAGAAATAATAGAAAGTTGGATAAAGAGGTCAATACAATGGGATGAATATACATGATATATGATATTGTTTACATTCTTCGTGAGTGAGTCTGATTTTGCTATATTTAGAATATATTCCCATATCTACAGTAATATTTGGTACACACATAATGCCTATCACTTGACTAAGTAAAGTACACAATTGTAAGAGTGGTGCGGTTGTAGCAGAGCTACAAAAAGTACAAAGAAATTAAGATAACTGATAATTAGTACAACATGCTGTAGTTTTACAATAAGAAACTTAGGTAGAAATTAAAGTAGAAATAAAAAATCTATTCCACAAACAAAATGCTAAACCCTCCATCTTTAAAGACACTATATAAATATATATGATTGTAGACAACAAATCCACCTCAGTTTAATTTAAAATGTCAAACTGATAGTTGATCTATACATTTATATTTTATATTATATTATACTCAATATTATTCCAACTAGAAGAATTACCAAGAAATTAAGATAAGAGACTTGCTTAGTAGGTAAAGATCTGGAAGATGGGGACTGGCGCTGCGGCTGCCCACCGGAAAACTGGGCGCTTGGGGACTGGTCACCAGGGAAGTGGGCACTGGAGGGCTGGCCGACAGTGGAATTGCCACTGGAGGGGGATGGCTTGCCGAGGGAGGGCTGAGTACCGGGAGATTGGGCACTGGTATTCCGGCCACCGGAGAACTGTCCACCAGTATAGCTCTGACCGAAAGACCAGGTTGAAGGTGCAACATTGTCGGAGACTAGAGAGAGGCCATCACTTGTGGTGAGCTTGAAGGATAAAGCTTGTCCATTCAGGTAGACATTACTCTGCCAGTTTTGGCCCCAATTGTGCGACATCGGCAACCAATTGGTGTTGGATCCTTTGATAGAAACAGACACAACATCCCCTGCTCCTCCCACGTTAGTTATGAGTACCAGATTGTAGAAGGAGTGTCCTGTTATCGTGAATTTGATTCCGCCACTCTTCTTGCAAGGAACCCTGTTGTTTCTTAACTCGTTAAACCAATATTCAATTACATGAGTTTTAAACTTCAATTTGGATGAATAATCCGTTTCATTTTGTTTTATTTTTTTTTCAGAAGAATAAAAGCTAGTATATATGTAATTTGACCGGAAAAGTAAAAGCTACCTTCTGTATTGAATAGGGACAATTCCAGCTCTGTACTGAGCGATATGCTGGAAAATTGGCTGGGAGAGATCAAAGTGTTTCAAGGGAGGGTTACACCATCCACCCGCATCACTGGGTAGAGTACTAGGAGGGCAGAAATTTGTGGCGGTGACCACAATTGATCCCGGAAAACACTGCTCACTGTCGCCGGCACACTTGATCTCAAAACACGCACCGCAGCTTAGTCCATCGTTGAAAAGGGCGGTGCTTAGTGCACCATTGCTTTCTCCATATCCTTGCCCAAACAGATCTCCATACCCACAAGCTCCACCTACACCATCAAGTAACCATTAGAGCTACTGAGCAGACATGGAATTACTTTGTATTGGTTTCTGCCTCTTACCCATTGTACCGGATGCATCAGCGCCGCCGTAGAATGTGGCGTGGGCGTCGGACCATTCGCCGCCATCGGAACCGCCAGCATTTCTTAACCTGGCCATGGATGAAAGCATGAGGAGTGTGAAAATAGCTAGGGTTTCCATTTTCAGTGGTTTTGAGAATTCTCAAGTGAAGAAGATGAAGGAAGCAGGGTAGGGTGTTTGAGGTTTGTGACCTGTGAGTGATTGACACATGTACACTTGTAGGATTCGTGCCGGGAGTGGAGGAGTTGCAAGTAGGCAAGTAGTGTGTAAAAGTTGGTGCAATAATTAAATAATGGGGCTTCAACTTTTATAAAGGTTCCATTGTCATTTGGGAAGCCTTTTTACTCTGACACTCTCTGCCGACCAAATTAGTAGAAGGAAAATACAATTTGAATTCTTAAATTCTATTTCATACTGTATATTTTCACTAAAAAAAAATTTGATGTTTGATATTTTTTTTTAAGAATTTACAAGATAAAAATAATTTATCATGCCTTCCCATATCAATAAGTAAAAATAAAAGTGTAGAGATGGAGAGTTTATATACTAGAACACTTATTAAACACTATGAAACTCCTTAGTATTAGGACTTTTTGTATTTGAATAACATTATGACTCCAGTCCTAGTCTTCTTATAATTCATCTTGTATATATTTCTTCATCCTGTATAGTTGTAATTACAGTTGATCTAATACAATTCATACAGGTCTCATTTGGTATCAGTTAAGCTAGAGTTTTGTTCCTATGGCCGACGAATCTATCAACTCTTCTGTGTGAACCGTCTCCGATGCCGAAATCACGCCTTCAACGAACACAACTGTCACCTTGCTTTCTACTGCCCATCACTTTGTCAGTATTAAGCTTACACACAAGAATTATCTGTTTTGGAGGACTCAAGTTGTGTTGTTCCTGGATGGTCACGGCCTCATGCATTATGTCGACGGCAGCTGTATATGCCCGTCCGCGTTTCTCCCCGCCAGTGAAATCAGCACTCCACAGCCGAATCCGACCTACGCAGTCTGGTTCAAACATGATCGTGCTCTCATGTCCATGTTGATATCATCTCTTCCGAAGAAATTATGCATCTCGCCGTCGGACGTACAACGTCACGGGAGATTTGGCAGCCCATTGAGCAGTTGCTGGCCTCCTCCTCGCAAGCTTGTACTCTACACCTTCTCGGACAGATTCAATCCCTCTGTCAGGGGGATTCCACTGTGGCCGACTACATCGGTCGGGCACGGGTTATCACCGAATACCTCGTCTTGGCCAGCAAGCCTATGTCTTTGGATGAGATGAATTTATACTTCTTTCGCGGACTACGACCGGAGTTTCGCAACCTTACTGCTTCTCTCTCGGTTCGTGGTGCACCAGTCACCCTTCAAGAGCTTGTGGATTTCTTGGGTGCTTAGGAGTTTATGGCGTCGGATGGCTCTTCGCCAGTGGCCTTCTCGGCTCAGTGTGGTGGTGACCGACGCAACAACCGCGATGGGCAGTCTCGGTCAGCAGCGTGGCGGCGGTAGTGGTTCTCTATGCGGCAGCAAGGGCGCGACAGTGGAGGTCGCGGCAGGGGCTCTAACAGTGGTGGTAATAATGGTAATCCGGCACAGTGTCAAATTTGTGGTCGTAAGGATCACAAAACTATCACATGTTACAATCGTTATGATCCTCCACCTCAGGCCAACTTAACATACAATAATAATAGTGCGGATGTTAATGGATGTCAAGTTTGGATACCTGACTCAGGAGCAACCAACCATGTCACTCAGGATATTGCTGACATATCTACTTCGGAGGAATTCCTGGGTAATGACACATTACGTGTCGGTGATGGTAAGGGTTTATCTATTAGTCGTGTTGGTCATGCTACCTTTAAAACCCAATCTCGATCTTTTAAATTGTCTAATATTCTTCATGTTCCTAATTTGTCTAATTCTTTATTATTTGTACAAAAATTTGCCTCAGATAATAAGATATTTTTTGAGTTTCATCCGTCTTTCTTTGTTGTGAAGGATATCAATACCAAGGAAGTTCTACTACGGGGCAATAGCTCCGGGGGTTTATACACTTTACCTATCGCTAGTTCGTCTCCTTCGGCATTTCTTTCAGCTTGTGCATCTGCGTCCGTGTGGCATGATCGTTTAGGACATCCACACCATCGTGTCTTACATCGTATTCTTCAGTTTTGTTCGGTTAGTGGGTCTAGTCGTTCTATTCATTATAATTCAAACTCATGTAATGCGTGTCAATTGGGCAAATCTTCTCAATTCCCATTGTCAGGAGTTGAGTCATCTAGTTCCAATATTCTTGACTTAATATACATAGGGATGGCAACGGGGCGGGGCGGGGACGCGGAGTATAACCCCGACCCCGTCCCCGCCCCAGCGGGGAATTAAGCGGGAACGGGGATACTCCGTCCCCGATCAATTCTTAGTAAAAAATTTAAATTATTATAATTTTTAATTTCAAAAACTAAACTTGTAATTTTAAAAAATTAACAGACACACACACACACACCCACACACACACATATATACATATACATATATATATATATATATATATATATATATATATATATATATATATATATATATATATATATATTAATTTATTATTATTATTTTTAATTATAATAATTAATCGCGGACGGGACGGGGCAAGACGGGGTGGGGTATCTTCGTCCCCGTCCCTGTCCCCGCCGGGGAATTTCAAAAACTCCCTATCCCCGTCCCCGATCTCCGAAATTTTTCCCCATCCCCGTCCTCGTCCCCTACGGGGACTGGGCACATTGTCATCCCTAAATATACACTGATATTTGGGCTTCAGCTCCTATGTTGTCTATTGATGGTTATGGTTACTGTTGGTTTTCACAGCCAACACTACCGTAAGAATATATCGTAGGATGCCCAAAGAAGTGAAAACAGTGAACAGGAGAAATAAAGTATAGAGAGAGAATAATGCGATATTATTTCTCTAGGGTTTGGTTGCAAAAGTGCCGATCTTTTGCTTAGCGATCCCACGGGGATATTTATACATGAGTATGAGATCGTTACAAGGTAAGTAGGGCTGTCGTAAAGTCAAGTCTAGAGGAGGGGTAGGGCTGACGTAAGGCCGCCGCAACTGCCTACCTACTGCCACAACCATCTAAACTAATTAAGGAAGCTTCTTAATGAAAGAAGATCACCTCCGCAGAATCCGTTGGTATCTGTTTCTGGGTTTGAACTTGGCCGGGGATGTCCCGACCGCCGAGAGAATGCTTTTGGGGCCGCTGCACCCGGTCAAAACGATCCGCCCGTGAAGCCTGGTCACCCTGTTGAGTTCCGGGATGGTGTATGGACGAGGACACACCGCCCCCTTAGCCTGGTCGCCCATCTGAAGCCCTGTAGGGGATTCAGCCGGGGACATACCGACCACCAAGGCTGGTCGCTCGACTGAGTTTCGCTTGATGGCCTAGCCGAGGACTTCACCGGCTGCCTGGACTGGTCGCTCTATCCACGTGGGCCAAGCTCCGCCTGAGTAAGCGCCTGCTGCTATGGAAAACGGTCGCCGGGAGATGACTAGTTGCCATCGCTATGCGCCTTATATAATGACCGGGGGCTCTTAGAATCCCTCACCCACCAAGTATCGGGCCTTGCCATGACCTGACTGCCTTGCTATACCTTCCATTCCGGCTTCCTGATTTGAGGTATCTATCACCAGTCCCTCACTTTTTTAGGTTTAGTCGAGCGATGACCTGAAAAAGTATAAAAAAGGAACACAGGGAACCCTCGACGCTCTCTCCTCCTCCAATACTATGGCATAGTGCCCGGTCAGTTGACACCCAACTCCTACTACCTTCTGACTACCTTTCTCACCTAGTGCCATCGTCTTAGGGTAGAGGCCATCCTACCTTTGTTCCAGCAACTCTTCCGCCTCACTGCCGTCGGTCAGGTCTCCTCGGGTTACGTGCAATCGATTTTTAGTAAAGTCCTAAACTAACTAAACCGGTTGAAACCCAAAAAAATAACAAAAGAAAATTATGAAGAGATAAAAATGCCCTTAATAAAAATAGGAAAAGTCATGAGAATGACTAAAAGTGTCCAAAAATAATAGTCTGGGATGTTAAATGACAAAAACGATAATCTGGGACTAAATTTGAAATTGCCACCAAAGACATGAGACCTCTATTAACTCAATTTTTTTTATTATCTATTTATTATCTATTTAGATAATAAGACTAAAGATGAAATTATAAATAATTCTAATATTTAAAAGTGTACATTTATTTGATTATAAGATTAGTGCAAAAGTTTCACTCAATTAATTGAATAATATAACCCAACAGGGTAGTTCAAGTGGCAAATGAGCTCTCTTTGTGGGGGAGAATTTTAGGATAACCCGGGTTTGATTTCCACAAGTGACAATTCCCTTTGGGCCAGCTTCTGTGTCTCTCGAAGCGAACCGGGTGGACTTGGACAGAGAAAGACTATCTTTAAAAAATTGATATGTAATATGATTGATGTCATTATATTATCACTAAAATAAATAAAAGAAAAATAATTTAATTGTAATTATTATAAAATAAATCTAAAAATTCACGTTTAGCTTAATTACCATAATAATTACCGTTACGGACAGAGAAAGACCTGGGACCACATTGTGGTTTACACAAAAAAATAATTAATTGAATAATATATGACTCATTTGTCTGCAATTATCTTTAAAAAAATTGATATGTAATATGATTGATGTCATTATATTATTATTACTAAAATAAATAAAAGAAAAATAATTTAATTGTAATTATTATGAAATAAATCTAACAATTCACGTTTAGCTTAATTGCCATAATAATTATTAAGCAGTTTTTTTTTTTTGAAAGAATTATTAAGCAATTATTATTAGGCAATTATATAAATATCTGTACAATTATAGTTTTATACCTTAAGTATATATTCGTTTTCACCATATCGCATTTACTCTTTTCCTCCTCTCCATCCACACATGGATGAATTAATTGTAATTATTATAAAAATAATATAGCGTGGACCTATATTTAATTATAATTATACTAATATCTACGTAAATAGGCTTTCAAAAAAAATATTTGCGTAAATATTATTTTAATTAACATAATAATTATTAGTCAATTATAATAATATATGTGCAATTATACTTTTATACCTTTAGTAATATATAAAGATTACCATAAAATTACTGTAGTAATTACACAGAAGAATATGAATGATAATTTATTTTGTTCCCATAATACCATAGTAATTACTTGCCCATGTAATATATTTTACTTGCACTTGCAGTACATTTTACTTGCACTTAGGTGCACTATATGAAACTGCTACTTGCATTTGTAATACATTTTACTTGTACTTCGATGATCGATTGTTTACGAAAATGCCATCTCATTTTTTTAAAAATCAGTCTTTCTCATTCGTTAGATCTGGACACGTGGACGGATGTCATGCGTTCTGAGTTCTCTCCTGGGCGCACCGTTCTCATTTGAACGCGATTATATATATATATATATATATATATATATATATATATATATATATATATATATATATATATATATATATGAGCGTCGAACGGCCGCCTAAGAGAGAACTGCAAGCCATCCAACGCGTGCCACGTGTCCTTTGATGCATATAAATGTGTGATATGTGCAAGTAATTGGTGCACCTATGCAAGTAAAAAGTGCAGGTAAAATCACTTACAAGTGCACCTACTTTCATCTACAAGTGCATGTAATTTTACCTTGTTAACATTCATTGATCGGGTGCACCTACTTTCACGTAGGTGCACCTACTTTCACGTAGGTGCACCTACTTATAACTATATGTGCACATAGTAATAAACATTCATTGATCGGGTGTACATATTTTCACCTACAAGTGCACCTACTTTTCACTTAGGTGCGCCTACTTATAACTATATGCGCTGGATAGTTCGCAGTTCTCTCCTGGACGCGCGGTTCGCACCTGAACGCGAGTCTATATATATATATAGATTATCAAAAAAATTAATTGTAATAATCATAAAAATGTCACCATAATCGCCTCCACCAAGGCTTGAACCCATTATCTCCCACATAAGAAAACAACTTAGTACTAATGAACCACAAGGTCATTAGTTACATTAATTTTTTAATTACCATAATAATTACTAGGTAACTATACTAATATTGCGCAATTATACTTTTATACCTTCAGTACTATTGGTGTATTTTGTTCACACTGTTGGTGTATTCTGTAAGCGACCGATATAAATGAGCACTATAATTACCATAACACCCCCCACTTACCATGACGCGCTTAAATCTTCAAATCTTCAGAAATTAGCCGCTGCCGTTAGATTAAGCAAAATGGACGATGCTGATATGGCCACACCGCCACATTTGAACTTTTTCCCACACACACACATATATATATATATATATATATATATATATATATATATATATATATATATATATATATATATATATATATAAAATCAAAAAATTAATTATAATAATTATAAAAAAAATTCAATTACCTATATTTAATTGTAATCTCTCTATATATTAAAGCCATAAGATTTCGGCCAATGAAATGGCTCCATTTTCCCGTTCAAACTATACTACGCCGTTTTGGTTTATTCTAGGTATCAAATAAAAAAAAAATTCGAATACAAAAAATCATTTGAGTTTGTATCTTAATTGAAGAATAAATCTATAAATCTATGATTACAATCCCTTTTTTACTATCCCAATTATCTGGGAATGTGGTTAGTCGCCTTTCATATTAATGCGGCTGCCAACAATTGAATTCCAACCATTATAAAGGAACAACTATTGAGAAATACAATACGATACAAATACAAATACATATAATTACGATCTACATACAACGGATACATGATATATATATGAAGGGTAATTACATTTTCCCTTAAAGCCATAAGATTTCGGCCAATGAAATGGCTCCATTTTCCCGCTCAAACTATACTACGCCGTTTTGGTTTATTCTAGGTATCAAATAAAAAAAAAATTCGAATACAAAAAATCATTTGAGTTTGTATCTTAATTGAAGAATAAATCTATAAATCTATGATTACAATCCCTTTTTTACAGTCCCAATTATCTGGGAATGTGGTTAGTCGCCTTTCATATTAATGCGGCTGCCAACAATTGAATTCCAACCATTATAAAGGAACAACTATTGAGAAATACAATACAATACAAATACAAATACATACAATTACGATCTACATACAACGGATACATGATATATATATGAAGGGTAATTACATTTTCCCATGTGTCGTTTGTTCTTCCAATGTGTAGTCTCATTTGGGAGGCAAGCGAGAGATCATGGCTCATTTGAAACTTCTCTACAACCCTCTATAAATTCTTGGTATTTAGTTGATTGCTTTCTAGCATTGTTCTCTTGCGTTGTCTACCATTGTTCTCTTCTTCAGTCTAACTGATTCATTCATCTTTCTTCATTGCTTTGAAATTTCTGGCCGAAATCTGCAAATGGCTCCTGTTTTTATTCTAGGCAAAGACATCAAATTGTCTACTTACAAAAAAGCTATCAGGCTACGGTTGATTCGTACCTATACGGTACCCGAAGGTCGCAACAGTTCGAATAGCATCAAGAGTCAGGAATGTGTCTTTCATGACGCTGAGGTAAGTTCTCTTTCAATTTCAAATGCCTGCAAAAAAATGTAAAATTTGACAGTCAATATATATGTTCTTTGTTGATAGGGTACATACATTCATGGGAACATCCCTAAAGAGTGTGTTGAAAACTATTCTAAACTTTTGAAAGAAGGGAAGGTTTATGCCATCAAAGATTTTGCAGTTATATCCCACTACTACCAATACAAAACTACTGATCACAGCTATATGATCAGATTTAGTCATGAGACTACTGTTGAGAGACACAGGCGCAAGGGGTTTCCCTTACTAATGTTTCGGCTTAAGTCTTATATTGACTTAATGAGTGGCAATGTATCTGAAAAGCATCTCATTGGTATGATTTCTAATTCCTCTTTTCTCTATACTATATATCCTATATCCTATGTTTTCATTTTACTTTGTTTTGTTCTATTCCCATTTTAGATGTGATTGGTAGAGTGGTGGAGTACTACACTCCAAAAGAGATTCTTATAGCTGGATTTCCCTCCAAATTGGTGGATTTTCTCATAGAAGATGGCCAGTAAGTATGCTTACTTTTCTAAATTTATTTCCATATAAAATTGCATAAAATTTGCATTTTTTTCCTAATTATAATATGCTTATAAAATGGACATGTGTATTAAATCTTTTTGTCACCAATACAGTAAACATAGACCTTAAAACTTACAATCAATGAGCTTTCACTTACCTCTTACATATCTGTAACATTCCTTGATGAACCCAAGTTTCTGATCTGCCAGTGTATAGTTGTGCCAATCTCAAACCATGCTTTTATGTACTCAAGAAATTTACTATCAAGCAGATTCAAATAAATTTTAAAACTGAAATTAGAAACTAATTGAACTTACTATCAATGAGCTTTAACTTACCTCTTACATATCTGTATTATGCCTTGATGAACCCAACTTTCTGATCTCCCAATGTATATTTCTGCCAATCTCAAACCACTGTATAGTTGTGTCAATCTCAAACCGTGCTTTTATGTATTAAAACTGTGATTAAATAAGAAATTTACTATCAAGCAGATTCAAATAAATTTTAAAACTCAAATCAGAAACTAATTGAACTTACAATCAATGAGCTTTAACTTACCTCTTACATATCTGTATTATCCCTTGATGAACCCAACTTTCTGATCTCCCAATGTATATTTCTGCCAATCTCAAGCCACTGTATAGTTGTGTCAATCTCAAACCATGCTTTTATGTATTAAAACTGTGATTAAATAAGAAATTTACTATCAAGCAGATTCAAATAAATTTTAAAACTCAAATCAGAAACTAATTGAACTTACAATCAATTAGCTTTAACTTACCTCTTACATATCTGTATTATCCCTTGATGAACCCAAGTTTGTGATCACCCAATGTATATTTGTGCCCATCTCAAACCATTTTCAACAATCAACTCAATATAAATGTAATTCCTGTATCTCAAATAAAGATTGTATGTAAGCAAATCTATGATTGTGGAAGAAAATCCTAAAAGTAAATCATGCTAAAGTAAACTGTGGATATGAAGTAATTAAGCTAAAACATATATTATTCAAAAAATACTTATCTTGGTCAGATTCTGACTATACTGCTTAAAGAATCAAATATATCACTAAGAGTTATAGTTCAGTTTCACCTGCAGTCAATGAACTATTATATAAGTAAAAAGCATTAAGCAATCAACTCAGTATAAAGTTAATCAGTACAATATATTTTATCTACTTACAATCTGTTTATCTAATTTTTAGGGGCAATCGTCTGAAGTGTACTGTCTGGGATCAACATGTGATACGGCCATGCATTATTTCAAGACTCATGTAGAAGGTCCTTTGATTGTTTTACTCCAACTCTGTCGAGCAAAGAAAGTGGATAGTAAGTTCATGATAACATATTCTTTAACATCTACATTGATTATTTCTAATCAAATTTGTGTTTGTAATATGTAGATGAATTCAGGATTTCAAGCTCATACAACGCTACACAACTATGGTTTAATCAACCTTGCAAGGAAGTTCAGGAATTTAAAGACAGGTAATTCCACATAATTTGTATTTCTAATCACCTTTCCTAGATCAATGATGAATTAATCTTAATTCTTTACCTTGCAGTTTGAAAGTTGATACCAGGCCACCTCTAAGTGTACAGACTGTGTCTCACATGTCTTATGGCAATGCTGCTGAGAATTCAAAAACTCCTATGATAGTAACTACAATCAAGGATCTTTATGAAAGAGCCAAGGTACATTGTAACTTACTTTAACCTTAACATTCTATTTTGATTTTTTTAATCCTAACTTAACAATTTTATTTAATTTGAACTACCAGGAGGGCTACTACTGGGTTCCTGGAAGGATTGTTGCTGTGGAGAGTACTACCAATTGGTTTTACCATTCATGTAGAAGTGAGAGATGCTTTAGGAAATTGCACTTGAAGAATGGGGCTCTACAATGCCTAACATGTGGCACAAGCTGGCAAGAGGGAAACCTAAGGTACAGGCTCATTGTGAGGGTAGGTGATAAGACCACAGATGCTCCTTTTCTTTTGTGGGACAAGGAGGGCTGCGAGATAATTGGAAAGACTGCATTCGACCTAAGGAGCAAATACTCAATGGTATTTTTTTTTTACCTTGAGTCAAAAAAGGCTGACTAGACAGTTTTCTAAATGTTTTTTTTATGAAAGTATTTTTTAAGTTTTGAAAGCTGACTAGACGTTTTGTTTTTTTCAGGATGGGTCTCCTCTCCCAACAGGTATGCAAGAAGTTCGTAATAAGGCTATGGTCTTCAAGATTTCTGCTAAGAGTGATCACTTCAAGAACCGAGCAATAGCTATACCTGTGGTTCGAATAGCATACGATGAAGACTTAGTTGATCACTACTGTCCCTGTTTAAGTGATGATCAATATCAGCTATCAAGGATGTTAAATGAAGAAGATCCAGATGCCGAGTCTGATGTAAGTATTTAAGTAATGGTCACTTGATTCAATAAACTAACTACTTCATGGTCTAACTAATTCTTTTTTCTTATTTATAACAGGAGTCTGAATCGGGTGATGAGGTAAGCAGTCCCAATCCTATTCAAGCTAAGAAACAAAAGCTGGATGAACAAGATGAACCACTGGAAGCAGTGTCATCAAAAAGGAATTTACTTGATCAATTTTCATCAAGTAGAGATGTTAAGAAAGCAAAGACTGTTTTGGTTAAACAGGAGAAAAATTAAGTTTCTGTTTTGTGGTTCAATGATGGACAAGATGATTGAATATTGGTGATTTGGGTGCTCATGTGTTTTTGTAATCTGGATTTTGATAATATGTACTACTAAGTACATATTATGTGATTGGTGATGGTTTGCCAAGGATATTATGCACTTTGTTTAAGTGCTTTCTTATGACAGTCTTACAAATGGTTTTTATATGTTTTATACTATGGTTTGTCTATTTCCTAACTCATTGCAGGTATGAACAGGCAGATATCAAGTAGCAGGCAAAAGAAACAGATCTACAAGAAACATAATAGCTGAAATTTAAAAGTACTTATCTGTGAGGGATAGTATCTCTATTGTTTTGGTCTTGAACTTTCAATCCACCTGAAATAAAGGACTTTGTTCATTCATCAGTTCCATTATATATTTTGATCCCAAATTACATGTGTCAACTGTGTTTGTTTTTTAATTGAAGAATAAAGCTATGATTACCATTTGGTACATTACTCACCTATTTTACTTCAATAACACCTTTTTGGCTGTGTTCTATGTATTTCCATCAGTTCAGTTTTGTCAACATCTGAACTTAGCTTCAAAATCTTTTCATGACATTCTAAAATACTAAACTACTTTATAATAGATATATACAAAGTCAGCCAACATTTGAAGGTTAACCAAATCAAGAATATCATACAAAACATAGAGAATATCAAATTGAAATATCATGGCTTAATCATATCACAACATTAAGTAGTTTATATAGATAAAAAACAGAATCCTTCTTCTCAATCAATAATTGAAATAAATATTTCAACAAAGGACTACAACTTAAATTCAAATCCAAGTATATTGAGAAAAAAAATCTAGTCAATCAAAATAGTCAAGTACTTTATAATTAAATCTATACAGAGTAAGCCAACATACAATGGATAACCAAACCAAGTATGTCATTACCACAAATATAAATTCTTATGGCTCTTCTCTCTCTATATTAAAGCCATAAGATTTCAGACAAATAAGGACTACAACTAAATTCCAAATCAAAGTTGTATTTATCAAAACATTTCTGCCAATCAAAACAGTCAAGTACTAAATACTTAAGTCTATACAAAGTCTTACAACATACAATTTCTAACCAAAACAATGTTTTTGAATACAAAACATGTCAGTGCACTTAAATAGTTCTGTAGTGTCTTAAGCAGATAACAATTTGCAGTAGTAATCAGAAGTATACCTCCATAAAGCTGCTAACGAAACTGCGAAATACATAGTAAATGTTGCAAATCTAATTTATTATGCCGAGTGACAGATAGTTTACAAATTACAGAGCTTACATAAATAGAAAATTCCAATGGAATTTTGTGTCAAAGTTGTGAAATCTTGAACGCTCGGTTAGCCAGGTAAGTAAGTATAACATGACGCCTTCATTTGTGGTATTTGCCAGTAGTGGAATTCAATAGATCACCTTAAATTAAACTCCAAATATAGTAATATAGTATATCGTAACTCTGAAATGTAATGGCATCAGAAATTACTATCATCATGTGTCATTTCCTTGAAAACAAATGTTAGAATCTGAGTAAATTAAGACAAATAGAATTGTGAACTATTTTCAAAAACAAAAAATAATAAATCAAATAAACTGGGAATCAAAAAGAGTACTGGATCTAAAATTTTAAAACAAAATACACATCTACTAATTAGGTGACTGTTGACATCAAAATTAAATTTCATCAGTTATGTTCTAAAGCTAGAAAAAATAATATTAGTTTTGACACCAACATATGCCAAGATTAAGACTGGGAATAAATACTACCTTTTCAAGGTGTGTCTTTTCTGCTTCCCAATACAAGTAATCATTAATAAATTCCAGCAAAATTCTAGGGAATTTCATTTGGCTTTTATGTTTTAAACTCAGTTACAATTAGATAATCACATTTAAATGCAGAGTACATAATTCATTTTCAACTGTACCCACTACTTACAGAGAAACACTTTCCAAACATTAAGCAGATCAAATCAATGAGGAAGTTAACTAAATCAACTGTCATCGGGTCCAAAAGGAAAGAGACAATTTCAAATAAAGGTACTTTGAACATTGATCGAAACATCTATTACTGTCATAGTTTCTGTGTCTTTCCTATATTCTGTCTATAAACCTTCTCCTATGAGTTTTTGAACTTTTTCTTTCTTGCAATTATGAACTGTATAAACATCTTTCAAATCTGTTTGAGTTTAAAAAGAAGAAATTATCATAGGAGAGCAAGGATAACAATATAGTATAGCTATATTCAAAAATCAAATTTCTTGGTAATTATAGGAAAGCTAAACGTTAGAAACTGCAAATTAATAGAAATCAAGTGCAACATATAACACTAAGTTGCTAAATTAGTGAGTTTCAAACCCTATTTATACAAACATACAGTTTAGCACACATAATTCGAATTGAAAACCTATTTACATTTCGATTTTTTGGGCAAAAATAGTAAAGATTAAGTAAGAATGAGTACGAAAATTACTTACCTTCGTCCGATTGTTGAGATCCATGAAAAGTAACCACCTTGAATGTTCACGCGATGGTAAAATAGCACTGCTTCGTATGATTTTGGGCTATATAATACAGATCTGTGTTCATCTAGGTTGCATCTGTAGAAACAAACAACCATCTCAGTAGATCTGGCTTCAAAAAAATAGGATTTAAAACCCCAAACTCAAATTTAGGGTTTCCCTAAATTCGCCCTCTTCTATCTATCTCTCGAAGCCAATTGCAGTATAGTCTGCGATTGGATCAAGAATGTGTTTCGTGGATAAGTGCGATGCAAAATTCAGACGCCATTAACGCCTAAGACGTCTGGATTACAGAGATAGATAGAGAGAGATAGACAGAGTGAGACATCGTAGAGAGAAGAGGTAAGTAGACAGTGGGAGTGATGATCGGATTGTGTCCAGAAGTCTCACTTCTGGACACTTTGATCTTTTTTATTTTTTATTTTGCTAAATATATATATATATATATATATATATATATATATATATATATATATATATATATATATATATATATATATATATATATATATATATATATATATATATATAATACGGAGTAGATAATATGTATATATGTGTATAATATATAGTATGCTTATTTATTCTTAGTAGCTATATACGCAGTGGAATAAATTAGGTTAATATGGTTATTTTATTCATTTTTGTTAAATCAATCTTATATATGGTGTTTATTGTAATTCAAATATTGTATTTAAATTATGGTGTTACATATATGTTTTATTTTTTGTTCAGTCAAATAGTTTATTTTATGTAATCATTGTATTATTTAAATCTAAATCAAAAATTATATTAATACTTATTTATCTTATTGGTTATAAAATCGTTATTGTTTTTATGACATAAAATGATTGTACGGAAAATGGAACATTCAACACACCGAAACTAACTACGATTGCTGGTAATTCCTTTATTTCTAATTGCAATATCGGTATTATGGTATAGTACATTTAATAGTGATATTTATATTATAGAGATATTAATGTTAGCTTTTTGTAATTTTTTTGTTTAGAGTGCTCAATAGCAGTCGAAGTGTCAAATGATAGATCTCAGCTTACATTTGTTAATGAAACATCTCAAAATAAGAGGCGTTTTACTGGGGCACAGTGTGGAGGTCTTTCTAAACAAGCTTTCAGCGTATACAATGGTATGAGATGTTATATATATGTATATATTTACTATATTACTATATTTGGAATTTTAGCATCAGTATTAAAACAGATTTGTTTGTTTTTTCAATTTTCTTAATATTTGTTATGGTTAAATATGGTTAATATGCTTATATTATACATACGCTTATTTATATAGGAACCTTATGTGTGGTGTTTATTGTATTTGAATTAGGGATGTTACATATATAGCCTTTGTTTTTTTTTTTTTTTGGGTAAATTTGTTTATTTAATGTAATAATTTAATTAATCTTATTTACATCAATAATTATATTAGTAAATCTGTATTTTATTAGTTTTATTAGTAATTCTTTATTATATCGTAAGATTTATTAGTAATTCTTTATTTTATTATCTTATTGTATAGAAAATGCAACATTCAACACACCAAAAGTAACTGTGATGGATGGTTAGTCCTTTTATTTTAAACAATGTTGTCGGTACTATGGTGTATTACAGTTTATTCTCATTATTTATATTAGAGAAATTAATGTGAGATTTTTTCAAATTTTTGGTTTAGAGTGTTCAATTGCAATACAATCGGCAAGTGATAGAGAGAAGATTACATGTGTTAATTCAACATCTCAAAATAAAAGCCGTTTTTTTGGTGGACAAAGTGGAGGTATTGATAAACAATTCTCTATTATAAATTATATATCTATATATATTTACTATATTATATTTAGAATTTTTGTTTGTGTATTAAAATTAATTTTTTTCCTAATAGTTTTACAAAATATTACTCAATCAATGACATCGCAATCTAACGTGCTCGAAACTACCCCTATGGTGTCCAATGAAAGGCGAGGGCCTTTGACAAATCTAACAAATGGTAAAGTTGCGCAATGAAGTAAATCATTTTTAAAAATATGAATTTATATAAATTGCTTTATGAATAATAACGTTTGTTTTCATCTTATAGTTCAAACAACAAGATCATGTGTTGTGGATTACAATAGCTCAACACCAAAGGCGTCAATGTAATTTAATTTGTTGTCAGCTTTTGATAGTGTGGTCCATGATACACCATCAAACTCTACAAATGTTAATGGTGAGTATAGGTACGAGTAATAACCTTTATTATTTGAGTATAGGTAAGAGTAATAACATTTGTTTTCTTCTAGATTATTACAGTGATATTGGTGATCAAACGTACTCATGCAATCATTGTGGAGCTATGTTTTGGTTAGAGGAGCGAGTTAATAAATCTAGCGGTGTTCGAAATCCTAAATATTCACTATGTTGCAGTCATGGAAAGATAAAGTTGTCACATCCTAATAT